GCAACCTACACCCTCCCCCCCACCCTATTCGGCCCATCGCTGAGCCTGGCAGTCGCATCGGATCGCAAACAAAAGACGAACGGAGGCTAGCGCGCGCCACTCATCGCTCGATGCGACAGCGAGTGACGTTTCTCTACCCCCTCCAACATTCCATCCACCCCCTACTGTTGTCACCCCCCTCCCCCCCTATCGCTCTCTCGCTCACTCAGCGTTTCACTCGCCTCCCACCACTGATGCTCCAGCTATCTGTTGTTATCACCAGTTATTTGCATCCCTTCGTACTCGAAGCAGAAACCGTGAGAGGGCGGAGGGTGGGGGGGCGGGGGGGGAGACAACTTGACTATGGAGTGAACGACGAAATTCTCGGGAGCTTACTTCCCAGGGAATATTACACTCCCAGTGAGGGAGCGAAACGATAGGTGGAAATGGTAAATTTCTATCGGGTGATTTCTCATAATGGGGAGCGTTCAAATATCCTTTGGAGAGTTTATGTTTTTGGGTAATGGGGGAGGGGGTGATTTTAAAGTATTTTATTTTTGAATAGTGGGTTTTGGGTATTTGGGGGATTAGAAGTGGGATAATTTAAATAACCAAACCGGTAAATAAGTAAAATAACTTTATTCATTAGACTTTACTTTAATTAAGGGGAGAGTATTATGAGTTTTAAGAGTCGTGGGTTATTGGAGTGGGACTTTTCATGCGTTGAAGATCGATTATAGAGATCTGAAAACGAATAATTAGTGCAAAAAAAAATTTTTTTTGTTGTTCGTAGGCCCGAAAACGCTAAAAATGCTAAAAACAGTCCAGGGCCTCCAATTTTTGAGCTACAGAAGATTTTTTTTTTCAAAATTTTCGGAAAAATGTGTGGAACAACAATTACGGGCCAGTTTTTTGGAATTCGACTCCTACACAGCTGATTTCTTTTTTTTTTCATATAAAAAAATTCACTATTTGGGTAAAAAAATTCAAAAAAAACAAATTTAGCCATATAAGAGGCGAATTAAAAAATAACTAGCTCGTAATTGTTATTCCACATATTTGTCCGAAAATTTTGAAAAAAAAAATCCTTTGTAGCTCAAAAATTGGAGGCCCTGGACTGTTTTTAGCATTTTTAGCGTTTTCGGGCGAACGAACAATAAAAAAATGTTTTTTTGCACTAATTATTCGTTTTCAGATCTATATAATGTTCTTCATACCCGTATGTAAACAGAGAGAAAAATATAACATTAATTTTTGCCTCGTATTATTTCAACTAGAAATTCAAGCGGGGCTATCAGACGCAAGCGATTGAAAATGGAAATTTCCTTCGATTGATAATGATTTTTTGATTTTCCATCGATTGATGATTTTCCAAAAATAAGGTGGGAAATTCCCGTCAAGTGTATCTGAAACTTGACATTTCATAAGCCTCTTCTCCCTAACAAGGATTCAAAGTCACTGTCTCTACGATTTTTACTCGACTTGACAAGAATTCAGTAGCGAAGTGGTCAAACGGTTCAAGTCGACTTAGTTTTCGGGGAATATCTCAAAATCTAAGGGAGATGGCGAAATTTTCGTACATATCTTTTTTGAAGCTCTCAATGTGCTCTACCAAAGAGGTCTTGTCAAAAATTTTGATATCTGCCTTAGATCGCGAGATATTCATTGAAAACTGATGAGTAGTCAAAAACGACTTAAACCGTTTGACCATTTCGCTACTGAATTTTTCTTTCTTCTGAGTTTTTCTATGAACACAGTTCATAGATTGATTCACAAACCAGATTTTTCTGTGAATAAAGTCAACTCTTAATGCTTTTCCAAAATTAATTAACGTGAACCCTCCACCCGAAATTAAATAAAACGATTGAGATTAAGACCCAGCGCCTCGACAAGATTGAAAAACCAGTGAAAAAGTCGGTGGCAACGAGTTAGAGAGGCCTCGGGAGTTGTTGTCACAGTGACGAATCGTTCGGTGTTTAAAATTCCCGTGTGACTCCACCGCGTGGCGTGAAAGCTCCAGCAACGAGGCGGGGGGTGGGCGAGGGTGGGAATAGAATAGAAGAGTCTCTCGTTTCAGTCGTGCAGGCAAACGAGGAGAGACAGCTGGATAAGAGGATAGTCAACGAGGGGCGGTAAAAAGGATTGAGGGGGTGAGAGAAGGGAAAATAAAAAAAGGGGGTTGAGTTCTCGTCGAGTGCCGACAGATTGCCGCGGGGACAAATAAGAGTGTATCCAGTCACCGAAGCCAGCGACGCGAAATTTCGGCTAAATTGTTTCTCACCCCTTTACTTATCCCACCTTTATGTATTTTTTTGGGAATGAAAAACAAGTGATAATGCATTTCACTCAAGTTTTGACTTTTCACAGCTGAAATGTGACTTTTTACATTCTCTCGCCCCATTTAAAATGAAATAAACATAAAAAAGATAATTTTACGTTCTTACCCACAAAAAAAATAAACTCCTTTACTTACCCCACGTTTATATATTTTTTTAGGGGATGAAAAAGAAGTGATAATACATTTCACTCAATTTTTGACTTTTCACAGCTGAAATGTGACGTTTTACATTCTCTCACCCCATTTCTCTCATTTCTCTCACCCCAAGTGAAATAAACATAAAAATGATGATTTGATGTGTTTACCCACAAAAAAATAAACTCCTTTACTTATTTCACGTTTATATATTTTTTTAGGGAATGAAAGACAACTGATAATACATTTCACTCAATTTTTGAATTTCCACAGCTCAAATGTGACTTTTCCCATTCGCATACCCCATTTCAAATTAAATAAACATAAAAATGTTGATTTGATATGTTTACCCAGCGGAATAAAAAAATGAAAAACCGAGGCTTTCACGGTTGAATGGCGCCCCAAGCACTCTGTTCTGTATAAATATCCTCTAAAATTCTAAAACTCCTCACATGTGTACCAAAGTCGTGAAAAAAAATCCACCCCCACCCCCCGCAGCTACATTCATCCTACAGCCAAGTGCAATGGAAACATCCCCCGCTACATTCTAAAAAAAAATATCCACCCAGGACAGCGTTATATCCATGTTTTCTCCAATTTCTTTTTTCTCCCATCGCCAACAAAAACGTAAAAGCGCGAGCCCAGAAAGTACAGTATCCACTGTAGGTAGTGTACTATCCCGCTGTATATACGACATTGAAAAAAAATAAAAAAATAAAAAAAGAGAGAGAGAGAGAGAGAGAGCGAGAGAGGAATTTTTTTCATTCTCTCTTTTTCTCTCAATTTTTTTTCTCCTCTTTTTTACCGCCCACTTTTAGTACCCACTCGGCTCACCACGAAATGTGGCATTCAACAGGGGGCCCTCTTTCTCTCTCTCTCTCCCTCTGCGCTGGGAGGGCCGGCGGTGGGGAGAGCGCGGGGGAGGGAAAATGATGCGCAGATTGGCCGGATCATCTCAAAAACCGCCACCCTCCCGATTCCCTTCACAGTGGTATGAAATGCTAGAGGGATGGGTCAGGGGGTGGGGGTCCGTGTAGAGGGGATAGCACAATCCTCTCTTCTCCTATTCCACCCCCACCCCCTGGTATATCCACCTTACTGTGATTCCTATGGTTGAGGAGGCGCGCTTCATCGTCAACCCCAACACCATCCACCCACCCACCCTCGTCCCCCCTCCCCCCGTCGCCCCCTGACGTAACATCCAACTCGTCACCGCAGACTGACTCCCTGCGACTACGATTATTATCTCATTTACCGGTGTAGGGCTTGCACGCGTGTATCGAGAGAATCAGTAGAAGAACGAATTGGACATTTTTGGGGGAATTTTTTCTTCGGTTTTTTGTGTGATTTCGTGAAGTTACATTCGTCGAGGAGATACAGGTGAGTTATTTCAACATTTTTTAATGTTCTTTAACGTAACATTTCGATTATTCGTGTGCTATTTTGCATTGTTAAGATGGAAACGGGGAAATGTTGATTTTGTTTTTTTTTTTATTAATGCCTCCGGATCCAGGGATGGGTCCATTCGGCTTAAAAAAATAATTTAGTACATCATTTAGCACATCGAGTCTTGTTTTAGCATATTTTATACTTTGATTTTGCAATTTTTCAAAAACTTGGAAATACATTTGATATCTTTGTAATTCATGACATTGAGAATTTTTTCTATTTTGTATGGTGTTTCGTTGGTTCTTATCTGTTTGATGAGGGCCTCTCGTTCTTTTGCGTACGTTGGATATCTCCACAGGACAATTGATCTTGTTAATGTTGACACGATGTTTTTTGGAAATATCTCGGAATCTAATGGAGATAGCGATTTTTTTGTTAAAGACATTTTTGTAGCACTTGGAATTGTCTAGAAAAAAGGTTCCCGTAAAAATTTTGCTACTCCGATTAGATTTTGAGATATTTAGTGAAAATTGAGAGGGGAAAAAAGAGTTATTTTCGTGTTGGAACTTTATTACTGAATTCTGATGTTGATGAAGATCAAAATTGATGGAATGTACAGTTATGGGGTGTCAAAATGGAGAGAGAGTGTTCTGTTGACATTAAGAAATATTTCAGCGGTGAGTTCAACACACTAGACTTGCAGTAGGTGGACTGCCCCCCACATTAAGAGCTCTCCATTCTCGAGAAAATCCCGATCATTAAATTTTTCCCTCCATATTTTCATTTCCGCTTTGAAATAATAGTCATCCTCGGGGTTTTTTATCTTTATTTGATGGAGGGTATATTGTGGGGGCGATAAAATTTTTTACTGCAGACAGTTAAACCGTTGATGGGCATTTGAGAGAAACAATAATATGAAAAATCTATAGACAGGGGAGTAAAAACAATCTGAACGAGTGTATTAGGATTGTTGAAGTAGTGAACGATCGTGTGAGGTCAGACTGCTTTGATCGTCTCATTTTACTCGAGAATTTCGCATAAACCGACTCAATACGTCGATTAAAAAAGCGCAAATCAGAATGAAAAATCGGTAGTGAAGTGAAAAACGAATGAATAAACGTAGGGGAGGGTAGGGTAAAACGGACACTTTTGACTTTTTTTGAAATATTCATGACGTGTTGAATTGTTCATGAAATGGAATAATTTTATTTTTCAATTGGAAACCAGTGATTCCTCTTTGTAATGAGCTTAGACAGAGCTCAATTGATAAATCTGTTTCTGAGAGATACGAAAATTTCGCTATCTCCCTTAGTTTCGGAAATATTCCTCAAAAAGTCAACGGGGAGATGAGTCGACTTGAACCGTTTTACCACTTCGCTACTGAATCAAAACAAAAAATTTTGAAAATTTCAGTTACTGCTTTTTATGACCGCAAAATTGGCCCTTGGAAGGTGTTTTTAATTGAATTTTAGCAAAATTTTTGTTGAAAATGATTGTGTAGCTCTTGAAATACCCACACGGAGAGAAATGTTCAGTAAAGATTACGGAACTCTCACTGCACTCACCGATTACGGAATCGACTCAGAAAATTTAAGTGACGGTATCGTAATTTTTCACAAGAGATTCAGATAAAAATTACGGAACGCTCCGGAAAAATTCCGTGACAGTTCCGTAAAATTTCCTACAGTCACATTTCGCTCCGGAATTACGGAAAAGATACGTAATTTTTATTGAATACTTCCCTCCGTGCCACAAAAAAGGTCTTCACACCAATTATCCTATCTCCGATAGATCCCAAGACAATCCTCAAAAACAAATATAGAATGACAATTGACTTATAAAAATCGTTTTACCACTTCATCGCTAAAGTAATCCCCACATTTTTCCATTTTCCCACATTTTTCCATTTCTGTAATCACCATAATTCCCGTCACCGACGAAAGGAAAATGCAAATATCCCAGCCTAGACTGTACACATACAGCGAAATAGGGTGGAAGGAGAATGAGAAGGGGTTGGTGACGATGAGAAATTGAAACAATCCGCCAATTAGAATCGTCGACGTGACGGGATTATGCAGATTTACCATTGGTCTGCAGTGGTATAGAGGAGTGTGAGGTATATAGAGAGGATGCAGAGAGTGGCAGCTGGTGGTACAGCTTAACTCAATCTCCGAGTTGTCTTATGAATCGTAAACCCAGTGGAAACCTCTTTTCCCTTCTTTCCGCTCATTTTATACTTTATCCTGGGGAGAATAATTTTACGTTCTTCACTTCGACGAATGTATAATTCTACGACTTCAAATGACATTTCAATTTTCATAAATTAATGACTTATTCACGAAGCACTTGACGAGTGAGATTTATTCACTTTTCATTAGTCCAAGTTGATTCGAGTCGATACAGCAATATTGCAATTTATCAATCCATCAAAACCCTTTGACTCATTCAATTGCTGAATCCCCTTGTCATTAATTCAATTAATTCGAGTCAATATTATTTCAATATTATTAATCAGACCATAATAAACATCAATACCTCACTGGGGCACAGTTCATGTCAAGTTTATCCTCATCTACACTGAGAGAAAAACGACGAAGTTCTCAAACAAGTCTTACTTCTGCCAAGAAAATAGTTTTTTGAAAATTATCAAAAATGGATTTTTTTGTGCCAAACATGCAGAGAGTGCGCCGGAATGAAAAATTTTTGTCGCAAAAATACATTTCAGTAGTGAAGCGGTAAACCGAGTTAAGTCGATTCTGACTATTAGCCAGTTTTTGCTGAATATCTCGGAATCTAAGAGAGATAGCAAAATTTTTCTCATGACTTTTTTTATAACGCTCTATTGGCTCTACAAAAAAGGTCGTGACAAAAATCTTTCTATCTGTTTTAGATTCCGAGATATTCGTCAAAAACTAGCCAATAGTAAAAATCGACTTAACCCGGTTTACCGCTTCGCTACTGATTTAGTAGTTCAAAAAAAATTGCATTCTCTGTACACGCAAGAAATGTCATTTCTAGCACTACTCCCTCGTTATTCGATACTCCCATACGTATTTTGCTCCCGAAAAATCTTTGTTTTATGCGAAACAAGGGATAGTATAATAGTTTTTCGTTTCGGCTGTCTAATAATCACAGACAACAAATGAACCCTTAAATGAAACAATAATAATGATACGATAGCTATCTTATAACTTAAATAAACTAAAAATTAAATATTAAATATTAAATATTTGTCGATAAATTTTCCTCTATAAGAGATATTTTCACCCTGAAAAGGCACCGTCTGGTGTGAATTGTCCGCCTCTCGAGCCAAATATTTCGTTGCTGTCGAAAGCAGAACAACTATTCATGTTTGAGACTTTCAAATTCGAACCAAACAAATTCATTTTTGGCAATTTTCAACTAGCGATTCTGTGGCCCCGAACAAGTGTTACCAGATCGTGACGTCACCCCATTTAAAATTGTACAGGTTTTGGCTATAAATCTCCAAAATCTGGCAACCCTGCCGAACAAGACTTGTTTGACGTGTTCGTTCTTCTCTCAGTGTAGTGATTCATCCCTGCACTGAGACACTGTGTCTTTATCCCTCAGAGTCAATTACTTAAAATTCCCTTGTAATTAATCGAATTCAATTAGAGCCAATATTATTCCCACTTCAATCACAAATCAGTATTTATTTATTAATCGGACCACAATAAACATCAATACCTCCAGCTTCA